CATTTTAAATTTATGAACATAAGATAAAGGGGTTAAATGAAATATTCCCCAGACAAACCGCACAAACTTGCAAGTATTTCTCAAAAAAGGGTGGTAAAATGAAAACAATTTTTAAATTTCGTTTTCCCTATTTAAAAAATTTGAGTTCACTTTTAAACTGCATTAAATTTTCCCAGTTTTTTAAAACAGAACCCCAAAAATGTTTTCTGATTATTAATAAATTTTTGAAACCCTTTTAAAAACCCTATATACACCAGTAATAAAGTTTTTTGAGAAAAAATAAAAAATAATTTTTTAAAAAAACCCCAATTCCCAAAACGTTTACTTTTTAACCAAAACACTTTATCTTTTTAAAGGAAAAAATTTGTTTGTTCTTTCCTTTTTTTAAAAAATTAATGTTTGAGTTTTCCCAAAAATTAGGGCCGGATGAAAAATTACCCAAATTTAAAAGCCCCAAACCCAAATTAATTTTCCAGAAAAAAATTTTACACATTTAATTTTTGGGTTTGGGAAAATTAAATTTGTTCAAAAATTGAAAATTTTTACAGAATACCCAGTTTAATCATAATACTTAGTCGAGTTTTTATGCTACATAATGTGACATTATTGAGCGCTGAAAAGTGTTTTAAAAAACATGTATTTTATACTTGAAATAAGTTGGTCATTTTAAACGGTAATATAAAAATCTTTGTAACGAGCACATTTGCAATATTCAGTTCATCAGTTCATTATGTCATTTTTAGCGTGTATTCATGTCTTGAAGAAAAATATAATGGTATATTGATATGTATTTCATGTTTCAAATAAAATGTTTCAGATTTTCTAAAAGTTTCGTATAAAACAATATGTTATGCCCAACAGTTGTTCCACGAACGGAAATAAAATCAAATTATCTAATAATCTGATAAGGTGTACACTGTTATACGCCCACCACAAGCGTAAGTGGTTTCCTGAATAATTTAAATCGGTAAAAACAAGATTAACATTGTAGCCTATTTATAATAAAAATGAAATTGTGTAAAGTTTTAGTTCATCTCTCTTTGTGAAACGCTCCGAGAACTACTTGATTATTCTTCAAATTTGATGCAGTGAAGATTTAAACAATACCCAAGTTTACAACTTAGGCTAAAATATCAATCTCCGGTATGTCTGCAGTAAAAGTTTTCTGCAAATAAAGACGGCTAAAGTCTGTGGGATAATTAGCCGGTCACTTGTAGAAAATTATGATACTACCGGCTGGTTATCGAGGAAAGAATGTTAGGTGATCTGACAGCCGACAAAATAACGTCATCTGTGTCAAAATTGGTGTCAGTCGAACAAAAAACAAAGACGGCCATTTCCGTATAAAGATGTATCCGAAAAATGAAACAATGAAACGATGTATTAACCGAGGCAATTCAAAGGAAATCCCGAGGCTTGTTTGGCTACAAATTACCTATTAGAAATGATGCAGTATTTTTAATAGTAGGAGACAGATATTACAACTTTTAAGTTGATGGTTGGAAATCCCTGTATACTTATTAGAAAATGTGAGTAAAATACTTCTTTCCGCATGTTAAATGTTAACTGAACGTGCATGTAATAAACTTTTAAAACATTCAAGGCGTAGTACTAGATTATTTAAAGTCAGTCTGTGTTGTACAATAGTTCAAGAAAAAAAATGGCAAGCAGAGGTCAGTAACCATCGCATTGAGCCAATACTTTATTAATCTAAATAATTTTGAATAAATTGTTTATTTCCAATAGTAAAAGGTACTATTTCTAAGTTTTATGCAAATGTTAGTTGTAGGTCAAATAAAAAGAAAATATTATTTGCACGTATTGGTATGAAATTAAATATACGTCGACTGTATGAACAATTTATTGTTTAATGTGCAAAGATAATTTAATGTCGAAATATATGAATGTAGATTTCGACAGCCGCCACAATGCTTGCTGTTGACAGCCGATATCTTTTACGCTAACGCTCATTAAAGTAACAGATACCTTATAATCTATCAAGTTTTATCAATGCAGTTAATTAAAACCTACTAAAGCTTATCCTTCAAAGGATATAATGATGTTTTCAATTACTTTTCTTATACAGAATAAATAGATAAATCTATTAATAAAGGAATGATAAATGAGTGTTCCAAAGTCTCAACATGATCATAACAGTTACTATGTTTATATATAGGTACTTAATGTTTGCGTTTAATGCATATAGTTAGATACACACAGATATCAAACATGTTCGTTCCCTGTCAGGATATTATATAGTATACTTCAGATCAATGTGCGTGTTCGACAGGCAATCACTTAATGTCTAATATAACTAACTTGTTAGATCATTCAATTTCTGTGACGACAAACATATCTTATAGATAAGATTTTTTGTGTTCATTATAATAAATCTAGACAATAGCTGTCATAATACTAGAATTAGATGTTAATTTATACAAATGTACAAGTCATTCTTTCTGGCAATACCCAAATCAGAATTTATGGCTTATCTTCCATCTGGCCCATATATGTAGAAATTAAGTTTATTCGTTATCAACAAAGACAAAAACGCTCCTTCCCGAGCCTTTTGAAAGTATTGTTTAAAGTTACCCACCCTTATTTTGATACATAATTTTACGTTCTAACTAAATTTAAAGGTGAAGTACTAAGTTAAACGTAAAGTGCAACCGTGTCTGCGATATACACTTCGTTTTAAATGCCCTTACTTTAAAACAAAATGCAAACAGACTACAATTGATATAATCATTCCAATCCATATCACACCACGACTTTTCAGATTAACCCCTCGGGTTTCCATAAGCATTATTTCAGGCACGAACGACATGGTTAGAACTGCCTAGTTACGGCAGCTCACGCATACAAAATGATGAAATTTCAGGAGTACCTGTACTATTGTAATTAAATCTATTTAAATACCTCCTTTTTCTTTTTCTTTTTTTTTTCCTACTTCAGTTTAAATTTAAAAACACCTAGCTTACATCAATCTAGCAATTGTACGATTAATATATACTATATAACTTGGCGATCGCGACTGCAGAAGAATTAAACAACAGGGTTACAAAAATAGTTTGCCTATTTTTAAACCGCTGGCAGCAAGATCAAATGCTTAGAAGTTTAGGAAAAGACCATTTTGTTAACATAATTTACACAAAATATAAGTATTATTATAATATTTATATAACAATTAAGTACAAAAATGTTTCTGAATTGTTACTGAAATGTATAATATTTTGGAAATGCTTTAATGTAAATCACTTGTATGGATAACATAATTAATTTTACTGTATTCTTAGATACATGATATTGTGTCTTTTTTTATTACAAGATATGTCAATACAATTTACATTTACTACAAACATGTAATAAACCAACATTCAAACGTTTAAATCTTACCATACGAAATCCTTTTAAATGAAAGCTTAGTACTGGTTCCAGGAACGGATTCGAGGTTGTTTCAATAAGCTTATAGCTTCCAACACAATCGAAATAAAATAAATTAATATTAACTAAGAAAAGCAATGAAATGTGTGAATAGAAATAAGGAAAGAAATAGCAGTTCATGAACATTGATTCATAACCTTTGGTTGCCCCCTAATTCTTATCGTCTTGTCTTATTAATTTTGCATCAAATGTAGGATTACAAGCGGTTGTAAAAGTGTGTTTCTAATTAATTGCACCCACTTGCCACAACAATATCTGATAATGACACAATCCAATTAGGTTCACTACAAGTGCTTTGTACCGCATGAGAAATGAAAATGAAAACATGTTTAATAGGTCATGATTATGTTAAACAAACATGCAACAAATGTTCTATAAGACCAGACCCTTGACCTTTTTTTAATAATATCCATATAACCTTGAATTAACAATTATTATGTACACTTGTCATTTCACAAGCGAAATGAACAAAAGAAAACATGTAAGCATTTTTTTCAAATAATCATTGCAGCATTAAGCAATTTTTGTTTAATGATACATATTATAATACGTTGTAATAAGCGGTTTAAAGATATAACAAATCTGAAACATCATTTCGATTTAATGTTCTCACGTTTTACGTTTCAAAGAAATTTTTGTGTGACTTTTTAATGAAGATATCTGACATTTATTGTCAACATGCTAGTAAACCCTCAATGTTTGAAGTTCTAAATTATTTACCACAACAAGTTACAAAGTCACACTAATAAGCATAACATTTGATGGTTATTACCAATTATAACATTTGATGGTTATTACCAATTATAACATTTGATGGTAATTACCAATTATCTGTGATATAAAATTAACAATAATTAATATAGTTAACTGATATACTTAAATGTTTAAAGTTAACATTTCATAATTTAGTTGTTCATTTTTTGCCGGGAATGTTAACGTAATATACTTATGCTTGAAGAGCATATTTATTTTATTAAGGCAATGTCACGTTACACGGTCTCATGTTAGTCTTGACGTGTCAAAACAAAATGCACACCGATAAAGGCACGCTCTAAATTCATGCGCAGTGGCAGGATAATACTGAAAGTTATAATAATATTTAAAATATAGACGCTGTCGAACCTAAGTTCTAGTTGACACCTTGCCAGTTTCAAAATCACTTGAAATAGTCTGGCAGTTACGGATTATGTAATATAAGATATTGGCAATCTTGACAGCAAAACGATACTTTAACTAAAATAAATACATTACATTAATAGTATGACTTATAATTTGGTTTAAACACATCCTCCAGCACTGATTTACGCGATGGAACGTAATTGCTGATAAAATTATATGTACCTTGCAAATACATATGCGCTCAAAACTAACACATCAGTCTAAGATTCTACCCATATCTTAATCTAATAGTTGGTTTTTTTAAAATGTGAATACATAAACATGTAGAATTTATAAATTATTCAAAAGTCATATGTTTATATGAACGTTTTGGTGGTTATAAAAATGGAAATTCACCACTTCTTACACATCAGATTAGCAATTCTTTAATTTCTTACCTCTATTTAAGCATTCCTTATCTCTAATGTGTTGTACGACAACTCGAATAATTTGTCCAGAGGCCTTAAGAGATGAATTTGCTTTTGTAAGTGAATGTCATTCCTAATATCCAGTTATTTCCGATTGTAGATCTGCGGTCTACTGAAAGTGCTTCAGTATAATGCAGCTTGCTACAGTTAAGGAAGTAACAAGCGCGATAACATAAGTGTTTTAAATTAATAAAATGTACTCAGTTGTCATTTTACGTCGTCCGTCTCATTAGCCACTTAATTATACGTAAACAATTTCCGGCTGACTTCAAATTAATATAACATAAGTGTATTAGTGTACATCGTAATGTCCTAATGAAAATTACTAAATGCACTTTAATGTTATGGCTACATAAACAGATGAAAGATACTTAAAGCATAACTTATATTTGAATATTCTAAACGATTTTAAATGCGTTATAAATGGAAATAAATGAGAGGATAACTTATTATACTTAAACTTTATTGTAATTATACAATTTTAGTTAAGAAATTAGAGAGCAAATAATTCAAATCACTTTAAATAAAGAAAATACCGTCATGCATACCATAATAAAATGTAACAAAATATACTGAGAGACAAAAATTGATAGATAGAAAAATAAGTCATAGGAGAAAAACTGAAAATGCCACGATCTTCAATGCTTTAATTCAATTTTATGCCTGATTGTAAATACTGTATATTTGTTATTGTCAATGCAGATCATCATAAACATCACTTGGTCATTCTTGATTTATCTTTTTGTAGATATTGACTACAGTACAATTGATTATCAATTGAAAACAATAAAGTAAAATCTTATGATGATATCACTTGTGTCATCATTTCTATAATTTCAATATAAAACAAAAAACTGCGTATGTCCCATGATGACACTTTCAAACAAATCATAACACTGCGAATAACTTTATTACAATTAAGAAGAGATGAAAATCATATAACTTATCTTTGACGAAAGTTTTACCATATTTCATATTGGTGTATGTTTTCATCTTAATTAGAAACACATTTTTCTTTCCTGGTATTTTGGCTTCATTTCTTCACATATATGTGTTCAGAATTTTAATTAATTTAAAATAAATCTAGAAAGCAGGAATCTGTAAACAATTTTGATATAGCGCAGGAAGTATATTTTATTTTTAAACTATTCTTTTTTGTAATTTATACTCCCGTCCTGTATTCTGAAGATAAGACAATCGTACAAATTAGATTAAAACATATCAAACATTTTAATCAGAGCTTTTGTATATCGAAGCCAATCATGTTTTACATATGGCTATTATTTTTGTTTGGGTTAAATATGCTTTCTCCTACATTATCATTGCAACAAAGTGGCAAATGCAATGTGGTAGATTGGGGAGAGACTTATAAACTGACGTAGAATTGGGATATCATGGCAAAATTAAACAGTACTTTCGAAGTGAATTTAGCTTTATGTTAAATAAATAAAAACAAGTGCACCGATCATCTAGTAAACCAATCTAAAAGAAATATACCTGTTGTAAAGGTTAGGAACGCTTTTATCTTACATGTGCGAAATACAAAAATTTTTCATGCCTAAACGTTCAATTAAAACGAGGCGAGTAATTAAAGGAGAGACCCATCATTAATCCGAAAGGAACTTAAGTTTTATAACAGGGGGCAACTGGCTATACACATCGAATTTATTCCCTTTAAAATGGAAATATAAAAATAATGATAGAATGTACGGGGGACTTTCTACGATAGACACACTTTACAAATTACACGGTTGTAAATCATGGAGAGCAACACCCATATTACTCCTATAGAAGCAACTATCAGAAATACAATTTTTTCATTACATTAATATTGCTTAGCGAGTTCATGTCTTCATTTTAAGATAGTTCTTTCATGATGTAAACCTGATTATTTTACTGAATTATTTTGACTAAAATACTTCATGTTTTATGCATTGTGATTATTCTCGGTAGTAAGTTACAAAGTGCATTGTATTTGAATGAGTTATAAACACGCGATTGCAGCAATTGTGTAACATGCTTACGTATAAATGAAGGATTATCTTTAGTTCATCTTACTTTTATTGTATTGTCTTTATTTATTTCAAATATCAAATAATTTGTGTTGCTCAAGCAAATAATTTTGTCGTTTTATTTGGAATATTTGTTTTTACGAGGATTCCAAATATATAGTCGTAACAAAAGTTAAAAAATCCTTATAGTCCTTTCAATGCTGTATAATTTTGATAATTCTTTATTGCCGTAATAGAAAGTTTTTTACATATTGTTAAATTTTACTTGTTACAAGTAATTCAAATTATACGGCTATATCTAAAGCAGTGCTTTTCAAAAAGTGTCTCTTAAAAGTATGTAAGAAGTGCCTGAAATAATGCATGATAAGGCACCGATGTCTATTTATCATAAATTGTGTTTATTTATTAATGTTTACTTTATAATAATTCGTCGTATAAGTAACGTACGATTACTCGTATTTTCTTTAAAAGTGTCTCCTTACAGACATGAAGACGGCAATATGTCAGGACAATCAACAAATTATCTTCGGCTTCGCATCAAACAAATCCTTGTTTATCCAAGAGAACTGTCTTATTACGCCCGTAAGCAGACACTTTTGTAGAAAACGTCGTGCAGTATCCATTACTTAAAGTATGAGAAACAAATACATTTGCTTTTTCCTATTCTGAAAAGGAAAAATAATTGATTAACACAGGCTGCTTTCCGGCACCAAAACTTCTAAGTGCACATAGTGTTTTTGTAAATAATAAGATAAATGTTAAGAACTTTTTCATTTTATTTTTTTATAGTCCTTGACATTTTGCCGTAAAGAAGTTCAAATTGTATAGCTTTCTATGAAAACAATAATAACAAACGTGGCCAATGGACATTGCTGTAAATATCGTTCTAAATATATCGGTAACGTATATATTAAAAAGAATGAGGCATTTTTTATTATTTAAGTATTTTTCATATCGTGTCATTGACATTTTTCATTATTATTTATAAATTGTCAATCGTTATTATCATATTCAAACTTTTGAAATGTATTACAAAATCAAATATTATCAAACATTAACATCGAAAAAAATGAGCATATTAATATAACTTTATTAAAAGAAGCATCACGACCAATAGAGTAAATCTTGTGACCACTTAATTGAGCCGTAGCGAAGAATTTTGTACGGAAACAACAGAACATTTTAAAGAGGTTGTTCAATATTAGTATTGATTTGAAGTTAATTGCCATAAACATATTTCTCCAAATAAATCATCGAATAAAGTTTAAGCTTCAAAAACAAAATGTGCTGCAATAAAATGTGAAATTGTGAATCACAAAAAAAAGCAGGAATGCATAGATATATTTTATATATTTTATAAACAAATTGCCATGGAAACCAATGGACCATACACATGACTTGATTTATTACATACTTATATTAAAAGTACCAAAAAGTTTGTATAGACACTAAATCCTTGAACAATATATCATATATAATATGAAAATTTTGTATAATAGGGTTTCTGTCACAAAAAAAAATATAACATTTTTCAATCATTGTTTTAAGTGTGATATAAGTGAAGGCAATTTTAAAACCCGCAACATACATTTAATCTTAGGATGTTTACGATCAGAAACCATGAATTCTATAAGCAATACTGAGTTACCTGAGAAAAATCAAATAATTTAGACTATTCGGAAGAGACATATAACATAATTTAATCATTGATACACAAAACAGGGAATCTAAAATAAATATTGCCAAGACTTCTGTCAAAATAACAAGCTCTCATTGACAGAATACAACATAGTAATTAGTGCGAGTTGGAATCTTACCCACGATAACACATCTGTAGAGTGAATTGATTGATATTTGTCCAAAGAAATATCAATTGCATGCGCATATAAACGTTTGTAAGAAAAATAATAGCAATGTTTAAGATCTGACTTATTTATAATAGCAAATCATTATTACAATGCACAAAACGCTTCTGCAGTTAATATACCGTAAATCTTTTGTATTTTAAGTTTTTATAAGTTGTATGAGATTCATCGGTATCTTTTGAACAGAATTCGTCACTTTGGAAACGATTCAAAAATCAAAACCTGATTGAAAGATAGTCTTTTCCTTGGCAAAAATGATTGTTAAAATCATTTAGTCATTTTAAAATATTGCCAAAAAGTTATTTCACTCAGGTGTTATCAAAAGAAAAAGAAGTGCATAAGAGACAATAATATTATATTCCAAATTTTTTTATTATTCACAAATGCGACGTTTTAAAGAAACACGATTACAAAGATTTTTATTTGTTTTGACAAAATCCTTATGTTGATGTAATTGATCATAATGTAAGTAACATTGACACGTGTGTTTGTGTTTTTGTTTCTTCTTACGCTAGCGAGATTAAAGTTTAAGTTTTGTGTAGGAATTTTCGGATGAAATAAAACATCTGACCTGAACTTTGCTAAGTTATGATTATAGTGCATGAAAAATACCTAAAAAATTTATATAAGCAAAGAAGTATATTTTAGAAATCCATTTTAACAACTAAGAAATCTTTTCTACATATCAAAATGTATTTTGTGAATACGAGGGGTGTACCAGAATTACGTGGACTTTTGCTATAACTTTTTTATTGAGAGGAAGTGCTGTGCACAAGAACCATAACTCTATCTTGACTAATTACAGAGTTATTGCCATTTGTTACTTTTCCTTGTCCGGGGCATAACTTGAAAACTACTGGTTGGAATTCAAAACAACTTCATACAATTGTCAAACACAATAAGGGGAAGTGATGTGCACAAGAACCATAACTCTATCTAAAGTAATTACAGAGTAATTGCCCTTTGTTGCTTTTCCATTGCTTTTTTTTTGGTCCGGACCATAACTTGAAGACTAATGGTTGGAATTCAATATTACTACAAACAAAAGTCAAGCATATTGAGAGGAAGTGCAGTGCATAAGAACCATAACTCTATCTTGACTAATTACAGAGTTATTGCCCTTTGTTACTTTTCCTTGTCCGGGGCATAACTTGAAAACAACTGGTTGGAATTCAAAACAACTTCATACAATTGTCAAACACAATAATGGGGAATTGCAGTGCACAAGAACCATAGCTTTATCTAAAGTAATTACAGAGTTATTGCCCTTTGTTACTTTTCCACTGATTTTTTTGTCCGGACCATAACTTGAAGACTAATGGTTGGAATTCAAAATAACTACATACAATGGT